GGTGTCCCCGCTCCTGCCCCCCGCGGGTGAAGGCAGCCAGCACTGCAGCTGTGTCTCCAACAGGTAGTGGTTAAGAACCCAACAAGGCAGCAGCATGGAAAACCCTGGTTGTTATTGCTGGTGGTGGATCTGCTCCTGAGCACCACGCCTTCAGAACCAACTCCGCTAAGGGTACAAAACACAAGGTGGTTGATGGACCAGTCACATCGATGCCAAGCCACCTCTCAGCATGCAGGCACTCTGCAGACAGCAACACGTCAGCTCCTTGGGCTATTTGAGCCAGCTCCAATCAAAACTCTGGAAGAAGAAGCAAGGAAACAACTGAAACACAGGAAAACTGCTATTGAATGTGTATTTCCAAGGTGGTGACCAAAGGTCACCCGCTATCCAGCATCTCTCTCTTCCCAAGGGATCATGTTGATCTAACAGCTGAAAAGTAATCTCACAATTTCACATCTCAGCTTGCCCACAGCACAAAGCCCCCTCCCATACTTATTGCAGCGCTCAGGCACGTCACAGACTGCAACTCCCTTTGGAAATCATATTTTGTGCCCGCACAAAACCTACCACTGGGGTTCCCAGTGCACCACAGGACATACTGGTAGGGCAAGAACACAAATAAAAAGAAATTGATCTCAAATGTACGCAAGAATAGATAAAAAGTTCTTGTAATTATTATTTTATCCTGCTTTATTCCTGCAGATGAAGAGGACAAAACCCCTTTTCTGCTGCTTTCCTGCTGCCTAACTTCTGTCCCCTGACACATGAAAAATTGGAAAAAAAACCAAACATGACAAAACAAGTGCTGATCTGCAGAGTGTGATTCCACAGCAATGAATGATCTTTCTGGGCTAAAATATGCCAGGGACAGATGCTGCACCTTGGGATAAGGGGGATGACAGACACATGGATGATTAACAGAAGCCAGTCAAACAGCTTCTCTCTCATCTCTAGCCACAGCAAGGAGACAAGATAGAATATTGTGTTCCACAACTGATACCAATATTGTCAGAATGGAACAAAGACAAATAAAGCACTGACCAACCAATGGATGAGACCAGAGTATGCATAATTAAGGCTGTCTTCCCTGCTAACATAATTACTTTGCCTTAACTGGTAGCTAATTTCATTTCCTCACTCAGTTGCTCAATCCCTTGCTATCACAGCGTCATATGCAACTCCCACCAATAAGATTTCATTTCACAATCCCAAATAACTCAGTAACTCCAGTAAACTCTCAGTTCACTGTTTACAATTATTCATAAACACTAATACATTAAAATGTTTATGAATTATAAGAGCTTCATTTCATCAACCACCTCCACTTCCCCAACCCTCTGTTCATTGTTATTTCAGCAGTTACAACTGGTAAACACCTTCAATTTCAAGCTTTAAGAAGCTTCTTGAAAATCCAAGTTACAGCACAGCGGTGGATCTTTGACTTCTTTACACAACTGCAATAAGCTTGTAATACAATCTCATGCTAACAGCAGCTGTATAGAATTTTCTCTGTTATAAACAGGTCAATCTACATGCCTTATTGTCCTTTTCTCATTATATTCATACATGTGCTTATATGATACAGTGCCCAAAATCACCTGAGAGCCAGCATTCTGAGGTGCTTTTTATTACTCTGGTAACCAGGCTCTTCTGAGCAGAAACTTACTGGCTTCAATTAGTAATTCAGGAACAGAGTTTCAGATGGCATCATAGCCTCTGGGTAATCACTATTTACTTTTGTTATTTCTTGCTACTTCAAATACCAATTTGTGCAACGATCCTTCTTAAGACTCTCTAAAGCCTCACTTCTGCCACGAGGAGAGCTTCAGTTAATGATCAGGAAAGAGCTCTGGAAATGGAGAACCTTGCCCACTCTGCAAGGACACAGACCAGGACTCTCCAATTGAGAATGCAACCAGTATTCAGACCAAGCTTGACCAGCCCACAGAACAGCCCACTCCACCATGCAGACTACTCGGCTGACATTAGCACCAAGGACTACCTTCTAATGTTAGTGGAATCCAGAAGCGATGACAGCCACAGTAATTCACATCATCACATATTGCCCTATTTAAGGAGTTCTCCACAGCCTCAGAGGACCCTGCTGTGGCTCTTAAAAACGAGGTCCTCAGAGACACACCAACAGACTTACCATCATACTGTTGTTCTGCTCCTGTCTCACCTCCTGCAAAATACTGCTAAAGAGTTCGAGGTAATTCAGATTCTCTTCTATGACATGGACAAAATTTTCCCTGCAAGGAAGGCATGACAGATATAAAACACAAAGTAACACCAACATCAGAAGGTTCTGCACTATGGCAGATAAAAAACCCCAGATGAACAAAAATTAAACAACCCCAAAACCTGACTTGCAGGAGTTGTCTGCAACTCTAGAAGCTACCTTGTAGGGCACAAAAACATGCTTTGAGGTGGCAGATCCCCACCCTGGAAGCATGGATTTGCATTCCTTCCCTACAGAGGAACTGCACAAACCACACTGACAGAACCATGGGAGTGAGCTGAGTACAAGGGGCCTGAAATCACTGCCCACTCCCCATAAGATTTACATCTCTTGACTCTTTGTATAGTGCCTCATACAGTGAAGTCATGGTTTGAAGAGGAGCTCTGAGGAGACCCAAAGGCCCAGGAAAGCACCTATAAAAGGTGATCACCCCACATTAGCCAGAGGTGAAAACTGCCCCACAGCAGCAGGCAGGAAAAAAGAAGGGGAAAGGTTGCTCAGGGTTTCAGAAAAACCAACTGACTTCCAGCAAAAGCCTGCTTAGAAGATGCGTATCTTCAGAATCCAGGTATTGCCCTGACCACCCAAAAATGGTTTGCTGCTGATGTTCAAGCAGCACTGCTGCACATCAAGGGCTGAGCAGTCTTCGAGGGCCACCTTTCCTTTCATTATGTTGACTGGAAGTAAAATTACTAACAAAAAAAAAGAGAAAGCCTCTCAGCTCCTGGCAACTCTTACTTAGCGGTGACTGGCTGAGAGAAAGGGGCCTTAATTACCAAATCCAACCCCAAGACAGAATTACATGACATGCAAGAAATGGCTAGCACAGTGCTTCAGCTGACAGCAGTATGTGGAAGTTGCTCAGGACCAGAGAGCAGAGGTTTCTGAATAGGGTTCCTCATTCCTGATCGGTTTAGAGCACAACTGAGCTGCTGACACATTTTTTGGAAGGATAAATAAAGCCCTAGGTATTGAACCAGATGGATTGCTTAGTATTAACCCCAACTTAAGTCCTCCCTTTGAATTAAGACTTCTTAAAACCACCAAAGTCGTAGAAGCACTAAATATGATATGATTTATCTGGGATTTGCACCAGAACCTGGGCATGAAATGATACTGCATTTCAGCTCAAAATCTCATTGCTGTAGGTAATGGCCAGAGGTAAGTTACTAAAACTCCAGTCAAGAATGGAACAATCTTGCCTTCGGAGACAGTTTGGTATACCAAAACTTCCCCTGCCCAACATATCCAAAACCCACCACATGGGATGTGGTGAGGACATGCCCCCTCAGCACTGGAGACTCCAGTGGCAGAGGAGAGGATTTCAGTGTTTGCACCTTAAATGGCTACACTCTGCAGTGCTCTCCTTTCCCAACAGCTCTTACCCATCTTCAGGAGTTGCCATATGGGACAGAGGATGGGGTATACTCCCTGAGGAGCCCTGTGGGAGCCACATGGCTGCTGGTGCTGAGGTTGTCCCTTCCAGGCTGGAGCTTACCAGTGATCGAGAAGAGCTCTGAGTCTGGAAAAAGAGAAATTCATCTCTTGGTGATGGACAAGGGACTTCTTTGTCAGGCTTATTTTCTATACTGTTTGTAACATATGCACACAAACTAGGCCATGTCTGTGGCTGGCAAGTCAGCTGGTACAAGCCTCCGGAGTTCTGGTACCAATGTCACCGATGTGACATTGTACAGTGTTGTACATGATGTGTCTTCTATGCTGAAGAATTAGGAGGTGGTGCCATGTCCTAAACTGCAAGCCATGCACAGCAGCAGCAATCCTGACAGGGAAAAGACATACAGGTTTCCTATACTGACCTTCAATGTGGGCATGCGGAAATCAGCTTCAGCTGTACTGTCACTATAATCAATTCAGGGAAAGCAGCATAGTCTTGAAAACAACTTAAGCTAACCAGGAAAGCACCTGGTTTGCAGCACAAAACGTCCAAAAGCTACTTACACATGCGATTTTCAGCAAATGCCAGATCTCCCTTTGCCTTTTGCCCTGCATCTGCATCACCGAGTTGTCAGCTTCCTTGATGTTATTCAGAGCCACTTCAATCTTTGGAAGCAGGTCAATGATCTTCTGCTTACAGCCCAAGAGCTTGCTGTAATAGAAACCAAACATAGAGTTACTTTTCAGCTTGTGTGGCAATATGTGCTGGCAAAACCTTGGGATTCAAGAAAAATTGTGTGAGAACACATCTGTGACAACTGCAGGTACAAAACCTGCAAGACTAGAGGGACCCCTGGACTTCTCCAAGTCCAGTTAGTATTCAAAAAAGGAAGCATAAAACACTACCTACAATACAAGCTCTTCTTATTTGAAATGCAAAAATTGATCCTAATGATAAGGGAGAGCACAGCAACTCAACCATAGGACTTCATTCATCTTCTCTGGCCCATGTTGGTCTCTATGGGGCTGACCATACCACAGCTAGTAACCTTCTTTACGGGATCTACTAAGCATAAGTCACATCTAAATCATGCTTTGCTGACTATTGAGATCTGTGTAATGACATTTTTTCTGAGCTACCTGAAGAATTAATGAAAAAAATCACTGTGGTATCTTCTCAGCTGTTACACAAGTTCTTTTTTCCCTTTAAGACTGTAATCCCAACCTAAACACTGGCAGACTTTGTCTCATTTTAAAGTGAACTCTTGGATGCTAATAGTACAAGCCATTGTATTCTCCTCCCCTTCCCTATTAGTTACACAGGTTACCTACATGTTTTAAAGAAGTACGTGGAAATTCAACACAGACACAAAGCAGCAGAATTAATATTGCAATGAAAAATGTACACCTGCAGATCAAGCTTTGATCTCTATGGTTTTCCCTCTCCTTTCCTGCTTTCCAAGTTGCATTTGTACCTGAGATGGCCGAAGAGCTCCTTGAGAACTCGGTCTTGGCTCTGTACTGTCTGCACAATGATCTTCACCATGTCCGTGCTGTCGCTGTAGGCATGATCTAGAAGTGCCATCAATCACCACATTAATAAAATGCTTTTCCATGAGGAGTCACTCTGGACACAAAATGCCCAGAGTCAAGGAAAGGTCTGATTTAATGAGTGCAGCCAAACAAAACAAAACACAATGGAACATTTAAACATCTTAAAACCTGTCACAGTCTCTCATTAGTCCTTAATGGCTCTCCACAGTGATGCATGCAATTCCAGCCACTCTTGCTGTCCAGATACTGGCTTCAATGAAGACTGCCAAAAACTAGATCCTTCTGCTCACCAGTTACTATGTTAAGAACATAATAATCCCCAAACACGGGACTCCCTCCAGTATAAGAGGGAGGAGAGGGAAAAAACAGACTGCCCTTGGCTTGGAATGATGACAGAGGGTCAACAGTTCTTCCCATGTCTGGGGGGAGTAAAGCAACAGTACTGCAGGCAGGAAAGAAGGTAGAGAATGCCAGAAGGCAGACACGTGTTCAGGGCAGATGCTCTAAGACTGAAAACCAAAAGGAAACCCAATGGCTGAGGAACAGGACTACAGATTCTGGGAGAGCTCTAGGCTCTGCACAAAGCAGCAACCATCTTAAGGTATATGCTCTTGAGTCTCATTAATTTTAATACAGTCATTTGTCTTCCCCTGAATGGTATTTTCTCTGTTTAAGTTCAACAAAATTAGTCATGGGGTGTCAAGTGCAAAACATTCTTTCAACCATCTCCTTCCATACCTGGAGGTCTTGTTTTTAACTGCTTGTACAGGTCTACGGCTCTCTGTTCCCTTTAAAAAGAAGAAAAGGATTCATATGTGTATCAACAAACAGGTGACTCAAGAAAAAGAAAGCCTTGCAGTTAAGCTATACCTTACTAAATGTCATTCAGAAGAGCTCTTACTAACAACAGATTTAGTGGCTGTTCAATCTCAGTGGCTATTTGATCCCCCTCTTTTATAATTGCCACTTGTTGCTCTCAGCAACAGCCCAAATACCACTTAGCTCTTCCATGGTTTAATACTTAAAAAGATATATAAAGTCAAGTTCCAAATATTCAAGTATTTAAGAGTTGGTCATTATCCTTGCCTGGAAAACACATCGAACGTATTTAACAGGGTTTCCCAACAACCTCAATTTTCTCACTCAACACTACAAAACTCACTCAAACGCAAAAAGAAATCCTCTGCATTTTTCAGTGGAGACTAAGATACATATCTCAGGCCCACCCTCTTCTAAGATGAAATTTCATAGTCAGTGACAGAAGTGTCCTGTCCTCCCCCACCTGTGTTTTCCATGTTTCTCCAGGCCTAGTCATTGTGTGGCTGCAGGGTCAGTTAGGCAAGTTAGATGAGTTTACTCCTATGAATGAATGTCAAGCTTCCTTACACAGCTATCTTCTGGATAAAGCAGTGTCCTATCCTGTCTTATAACACTTTCAAGTGATGTTAGAACTTCAAGAGGATGGAGCAGCGTACAGACACAAGTGGTGGGATCTTCCCTTTTATCAGCAAAATTATATTAAAACTGATTGCAAACTACTCTGTACTTCCAAAGTGGATTCCAAAAGCAGTGATGGAACCACTAATAGAGACAAAAAGCCCTCACACACTGAAATACACCCCATCTATGTGCAGTAAAGATACTAAGCAAAGTACTTACAAGCTCTCCATGACCTCTCCTTGGCGCCTTGCATATGGACTCTTCTGAAGCTCTACAATCTCTGTGTGGAGAGCCATGATCTGCTCATCCAGATATCCAATATCTTCAGCCTAATGGTGAAATTTATGCACATCATCAAACTGAAGAGAGTAATGAAGTAGATAAAGCTCCCCAGAACACTTGTCCGGATAATGGACTATCTCCGTGAAGAGTTTAGGAGAAAAAAGCTCTTTGACATGACTGCTGCTACACTAATTGAAGTTACTGTTCTCAATGCATGCTATCACCTAGATACAAATCTCTGACAAGCAAACTAGATGGAGACTAAGATTTTTCTCATCAACTGTATCTCTCTCCAAGATGCACACTGCACACACACACTCCCTGGCTCTACATACGTTCCAGCAGTGAAGAGTTTTTTCTTCTACTCTTACAGTATTGACAGTGGGTGCTCTCACATTTTACCCTCCCATATGCATTTCAGTCTGACATCTTCCTCAAAGCACTATAGAATATACCAATCTTCTGCCACGCCCCCACAGTAAGATAGGTGAGGCAGCCAACAACGCTTCTGAGCATGAGTAGGAGGTATGTGGAGATCCCCAGCATAGTTAAGACAGCACTGGTCACTGTGATGGGTCTCAGTGCCATGGACTGTGGGTATTGAGCTGCCTTCCTGAGAAAGTTTTCTGAGGTATTTCAGCTTTTCTTTTCTGACCTGGGAGCTGAAAATTGAACATTTTCCAGAACATCCCTTGCTGGAGGTCTTGCAGGTAAAGAATAACCGAAGAAGAAACAAGAAAGGAGAATTAGAACGTGAAGTAAACCCTGTTATCAAAAGGAATGTCTTTATCTGGAGCACTATGGCTCACCACACAGCATAACTGTGTCTCTTGGCTTCAGAGAAGTCAAGCTACCCAGTAGATAGACTGACACACTACTGTGTATTACAGAGGAAACCATTTTCCATTCCTGATAACTGGACATGGTGCAACTACATATGGGGACTGCACAGCTTGAAGACAATGCAATTCTGATGGTTTGCTAAGGAAATATTTGTTGAGGTTCCTGGTTTGCTGGAAACAACCTGTGCCAGCTTTGAGTTATGCTGCTAGAAGCAGCCTCCCTTTTATCTTTCTTGCTGCCTTACAGGGAGCAACAAGACCCCAAAATTTAAAGAGCTGAACAGAAGTGAATTCAGGTGGGAATCCCAATTCCCCTCTCTCCATCAAATGACCAAGCAGAATCAAGGCTCCAAGATCCTTCTGACTTAGATGGAGATAGAAACTGAACTACCCAGTCTGCTCCTTCATAGGGGGAAAAAATAGGCAATGTAATTTACTGTTTGTGTTTCTAATGGTGTCTGGGATTTTAATGTATTAATCACTGTGCTCTGTATTACTATGAGAGCCCATACAAAAACACCTTGCAGGGGAGAGCAAAAATGGAAGACATCAGCCCAGCAAACCATGTGCCAGTCCTGGTCAGCAGAACATGCAATGTTCTTGGCGCTCCTGCAGCTACCTACTATCACAGAGCATGAAGAAGTGAGTAAGTACTTCTGGAGATGTTTTAAAGACCTTTACTCTGAGAAATACACTACAAATGTGCTGGCTTTTCCTTGCATTTCTTCTGAATGCTCCCCTCTCCCAAGCTTTATTCAATGCATTCAGTAGAAGAGAAGAAACAGCTTTTGACAATGAACTACAATCATCCTAACTCTGTCTCTAGTTTTCACAGCTAAAAGCTTACTCCTTCCCTATAAAGGTCTGGACAGAATTGGAGGCAGAATTATTCTGTCAAAAAGGCCTCTGTCTCCTCATCATTTCCAGTGGAGGTAAAAATCAAAATGCTTATTTCGTGAAGCCAGAGATCAGAATTCTAAGCATTTCCACTAGCCTTTCTCACAGAACTAACTCTCCAAGAAACAGAATGTTCTCAGCTCAACTGTCCATAAACCACAAGTAGAAACAACTCTTACCTATTAGGATTACTCAGAGTAACAACTGGTTCTGGCTCTGCTTTAAACTCTTTAAGGATGACTCTTACTAAAAACTATTTTTGTATTTACTTGCAGAATACTAGAAATTTACTCTGGCTGTACTCCTAAATGAAGTACTGCAATTTTGAAGTAACTGCAGAGTGTTTGGTATCATTGTCAGCTTTAGCAATGGAAATTGTTGTCTGCAATCAATCCAACCAGGAAGACTCTTGTCTGTAGCACCACCATTTTTCCTAGGCAATAGATAATGTGTCTATAGCTTACTTTCCTATACAGACAACTGAGTCTAGTGACATTTGTGTTGGTTTTGTTCAAATCACTCGATTCAAGCAACCTGGCGTCTGGAAGCTGTTTCTTTTTTAAAGCACCTACAGTGATATTCTCATTCCCACAGCAGGCAGCATATGAAACAGAGAAGGGACAGAGCACTGGCACATATGACACTTTAAGTTCCTGTCATGACCTCCTCCACAGAGAGAAAATGAAGCTTCTTTAATACCCCCTACCTGTGCACACTGAGAGGCCTTCTCTTCCATCTCCTTCCAGGCTTTCAGCATCTTTTCTGAAGCTTAAGAGAAAAGACTTGTTAATTTACAAAAAGATACAGACACAAAAATAAAGCATAACCTGAACTTTACATACATCAATTAAATTTGAACACAAAGAGTTGATGCTGAGTCTCCAAGCAGGGGTCATGACCCAGAAATCAGAGGCAGCAAAGTTGCAGCTTAACAACTCCATGCTTGACCTTAACTCACATACAAGCCCATTGATAGGATTTATAGAATCACAGAATCCCAGACTAGTTTGGGTTGGAAGAGGCCTCAAAACTCATCCAGTTCCAACCCCCTGTCATGGGCAGGGACAGGGTTCCCACAGTTGCCATGCCCATTCATTCTGCCATGGGTGGCCAGTGGCCCTTCCACTGTCCATCCAGTGCAGCAACTCTGCCCTCCACTTTATGCCCAGTGATAATTCCAAATGAATCAGGCTCTGAATGAATAAAGAGCAAACATTCACATCACCACTACTATTAATACTCCCATTTTCTTAGCTTGGTGTTCTCAGTAGGCAACAGCTGACCACTGGTTTCACTGTTACTGAAGGTCTCCATAAATACCATGGTTTTTATCCTCCTGCCTTTGCTTCTGCCAAACTCTCGTCCTGCATCTGCCTCAGCTAAAACATACCCATAAAGATGCTGAGGAACACAATGGCAGTTCCTGCACTAATTTTCTTTTAAGCCAGTTCTTACCCATAGTCCTTCATAGTCAGTCTGAGCTTTTATAGGATCAGACAAGACACTCAAGACAAGTGTTACACAACACGTACATATGCCATAAGCCATCTGGTCACTGTATCTCTCCAGGTCAAGGCGAATGCTTTGATGAAAGAATTCCAGTTTGGCTTTCAGTTGCTGGGATGCTGACACCATATTGTTTTTCATTTTGATTAGGTTGGCATTGTACCGAAGAAGACTGAGCCTAACAAAGGAAGCAAGAATAGCACATTAGTTGAAAAGCATACCTGGACTTATGTTACCTGAACGAAAGACACAGGTAGCAAAACATTTTGGAAGATCTTTGGAACAGGGACTCTCAGTGGGATCATCTCATATTCTCAGACACTGCAGGTCTTCAGCAAGCAACAGAGAAAGTCCTTCCTCTTTTCCCACTATTTTTGTCAAGCTCAGTTGAACAGCCCTTGCAGTGTAGAGTATTTCTTAGCATTAAGAAGGTCCTGTAGTGCATGTTGTCCCTGGTGAATGCTGACACCTTTTTTATCACTTGAGATTAATGACACTGCCCATTCTGTGATTCAAACACAGGACAAAACTCTACAAACAACAGTTTCACTCATTCTGTCAACTCGTGAAACAACCACCCTGGGCTGTATTAGGAGGAGTGCTGCCAGCAGGCTGAGGGAGCTGATCCATCCCTTCTATTTCAGCACTGGTGGGGCCATACCTAGGTCCAGTTTGTGCTCCCCAGAGACATAGGCATACTGGAGGAAGGCCAGTGAAGGTTATAAAGGGACTGCAACACGCCTCCTATGAGAAAAGGCTGAGGGAGCTGTGACTGTTCAGCCTGGAGGAAAGACAGCTGAGTAGGGATCAAAATGTACAAATACCTGCAGTGAGGGTACATAGAGAAGAGAGCCAGGCTCCTGTCAGTGGTGCCCAGTGACAAGATCAAAGGCAATGGGCAAAAAACTGACACAGTAAATTCCCTCTTAACATCAGGAAACTCTTTTTTACTGTGAGGGTGACTGAGCACTGGCACAGATTGCCCAGAGAGGTTGTGGAGTTTCTGTTCTTGGAGATACTGAGAAGCCTGGTCCTGGGCAACCAGCTGTAAGTGACCCTGCTTCAGCACGGGGGGTTGGACTGGGATGACCTCCAGAGGTCTGTGAGGCTGTGACTATATTCAAGGTTCTTTCCACTTATCATGCATGTTGAGCACTGTGCAGTACAATTCCTGAAGTGGAATAAGCTCCCCCAGATATGCTTTATGACTTAAAAGTATAGAATAGCAAAGGGCTGTAAAACTCCGGGTAACCAAAACATCCCGAGATACACATTTCCATGCAAACACTCTCTGTAGTGGCATAATACAGGATCTTCTCAATGAGAAGTAACAACTTACATGGCAGCTCTCTGGCCCTGGAAGAGCCTGCTATAATCTTCCTTCAGCCCAATCACGTAGTGAACCGCTTCTGCCCATACTTTGCGCAGCTGAGGAATTGGCAATTGGATTTTACTGTCCTGTACTGAATGCAAGAAAAACACAAATGTGCACAAATGAAAGGACAACTCTAAAGAAGGACTTCAGTACTTACAACATTCCCAGTGCTTCAGGTGCCTAAACTAAGGGATCAAGCCATGCCATACTTGCTCAGGTGTGTACAAGCTTTACACATTACAGCCCCCCAGTTATCTGACAGCCTCCTGCCAGCCAAGCAACTAACTACTCATGTTTGAACTCACAGCTGCAGGAGCACTGATCCCTTTGAGCATGTTGGTCTATCGGCAGTAGCAGACATACTGCACGAAACATGGCACAAAGCAGGACCCAGGGATGGTTTTATCCAGAAACTCTTATCTAAAGTACTAGCCCAAGCTAGCAAAGCAGATTTAATTGCTCCACTTAATCAGCTGAAATCGGTCACACATCAGTCCTGACGTGTGTTTCATCTGAAAACATCTTCGAATCTTTTGATGCTCCCTCCCAGATTCCCAATGTAGATGTATAAGGGGAAAAGACACAGGACTTCTGTGTGCTCCCCTACAGAGATGGGGAACTGTCAGTACACTGAGACATCAATAAACATGTTGTAAAAAGCCTTAGCTCCAAGAGATCCAGCACAATGATGTCATGCAATGAGATTCACCAGGATAAAATAGCCCAGAATACAAAAAAAGCCAATCAGGATAAACCTGAATGAGAGTAGAAGGAGAAAAGGAGATACAGAAACCAGCACAACTGCAGAGCCAGGCCAAAGAATGATGCCTGATGATGCTGGGGCCAGGCAGCAGCACCAGAACTAACAGGGACCCACTGGAGCAGACCCCACCATGCAGCAGCGGACAGATTCTACTCCCAGTAACTCAAAATGAAGGAGGGGCCTGGAGTTTCTCAGTCACTTAGCTCTGCTTGGTAAGACCAGAAGTAGGATCAGTGCTATGGGGTTATGGACACATTATGACTAGAACTGAAAACTGTCACGAAGACAGTACAAGAGGTTTTGAACCCCTGAGGTGTCTCTGAAGACCAGCACTAACTCCCAGTGGAATGACAGCAGTCCTGCAACTGGTGTACTGTGCCCAAACACACTGGCTTGGCTCTGTTATCACAGCAAGGTGGATGAATGATCAGCAGCATAGAATGAGGGACATGTTCTTTCACTTAGGTGAGACACAAGAGATGGATCACAGCTGAAATGCAACTATCACAGACAGTAAGAGGGGAAAAAAGGTAATCTGTATCCTCAGGATGCTGATGTAGGGTCCAGAAGCATAAATCTAGGAGAGGTGTAGGAGGGCAACTGCTCATAGACATCCAAAGCTCAGGAGAAAGGACTGCTGAAACCTGTTTGTACCTGTGCATGGTGAGGGGAAGAAGGTATATATACACAACTTCCACAGATGCTAAACCCTAAGATAAGAAGGTCCCTGGACCCTTGGTACCAGCAAAGGACTTCTACGTGGGCTATCACTCAAGTTCTGCAAACATCTCCCAGCATCATGTCACTGCAATACTCTGGGTGTGAAGGGACAACACCCTTCAGCAGAGCAGAAGGCTGTGCAAACGAAACCAGAGTCCCCAAGTCAGAACCTTCTTTCCAGGATGTAGTGCACAGACGTAACAACAGGCTTCCCTCTCTAGGCTACAAGATTAGGTTGCATGTAAGCCTCATTCACATCACAGTTCTGTTTAAGTGAGGCACTGCTTAGACTAAGGTGTTGAGGTGGGGTAGACACTGTTCAGTGCATGGAATTTAATACTAGGGCAAAAACCTTAAGTGAATTCTAAGCAGCTCTATAGAAGAGTTTCCAAAGGGCAAGCAATAAATTCTCTGAACTGTTAGATGTAGCAAATGGGGAGATACAGCTCTGTAGAAGAAACACTGTTAGGTTGCTCCTGGTTCTTAAATGGTTCTCTTTGAATTAGATAGTGACCTTCAAGACAACACACTGATTTCTAAGGTAAATCTACTTTCCTATTACACGAGAAGCAGCACTTTCAGTTCCCAGCTGTTCTCCAGCATACTTACCAATGTAATTTACACAGTCAGACAGACTCCGTGAAGCAAAGGGTCCATCATAGACAGTTTTGCTTTTGTCAAACAAATACACCATGTAGCTATCCCAGCCTCTCTGGTAGGAGAAGAAAAAAGAACATAAAGAAATCTCAAACATAGCTCCTACTAACCCAGAAGGTCCTGGTTACATCATGAACTAATTATTCAGGGCACATACTCAGAAGATCAGGTGCCTTAAAAAACCGATCTTGAGAGGACCCACAGAAACACAGGAGCTTTTGCTAACAAGTTACTGTACTTAAACATTTAGATATTACTATAGGAATACTTATGCTATCATATTTAGACTATTAATAGGAACTATTTAGCCCAGATATAGACTACTTAGCCCAGATAAAGAATATATAGAATATTTAGACTAAGTATAGGAATATATACCATAGGAATCTGTCACTGGGTAATCTTACATTACCCAATAAAGGAAATAATGCTAGACCTTACATTACTACATTTACAGAGCAAACTGTCTCCAGTGGGAGAAGATGAGGGCAATTTATCTTCCCCAAGATTTTAAATTCCCTGAGAATGTGACATTAAACAAACAGAATCATTCTTACTACGCCATCAATCACACACTGGGAAGCAGGTTTCCGAGGGTCCAGGCAAATCCCTGTCTCTAACAGCAGTTCCTGATTTCCAGTACTAATTCCAGTTTCAAACTCAATCCGAATCTGAAGGGAATGAAGGCTTTCCTCGGGATGCAAAAGAAATGAAACAATCTTGGCAGAGGTCATATTTAGGATGTGTACTATCTGTGAAAAGAGTAGAAGTTGATTACAAGTCACTGGCTATCAAAGATGAAGGACACAAAGGCCTGGGAGGGAGTATGTAGCAATCAAAGTGCTAGACTGAAAGCATCAGTTGAGTTTTAATGACTACATTAATAAAGATGAGGAGTATAGCCCCACATAACAAAATTCAAAGCCCAGGACTAACCTTTAATGTCAGAGAAACCAGACTTAGTCCAGCAAAACTTCACTAATTGAAGAGGAAGAGTTAGGAGAATGTAATCTCTGTTCTACTACAGGTACGTGGACTTTGAGGTCACAGCATCAGCAGTGGAGTTCAGGAAAACTTTTATTAGCAAATATTTAACCATTAATTCATCTTGGCAAGTCCTTTCTGAGGTGATAGACAGTAACATAGGGTCATTCTTCCACTCCAAGTGTAGAGCTAGAGGTTAATACTTCTAGTGGTATTCTGCCTTGAGACAGGCACTGGACAGGCTGCATATACACTCACTTCCTGATACCAAGAAAAACATTCTTCATGATCCTGCAGCTGGATGATGCCAGGATTATAGTTTTGCTCCACTGAACACACCCTCTATCCTCTGAAGTGCTTTCAGTAGGCCTCTAAATTCAGTAATAACCCTCACTTACCTTCAAATTCAGTATGTGATCCATTATTAGGAAACACTTTGGACGACTGGTCTCAGGATCTAAACCTCCACCCCTCTGTTGTGGATCCCAATTCAGCATCAGTTGCAACCAATTTTCCATCAGTCCTACAATTAAACTAATCCAGAAGGGATGTAAGAAAGAGTCTACAACACTCAGCCCACTTAGGAAACTAGGGTCTTGCAATAGTAATAAGGTTACAACTCTTAGGTTAGAGACCATATGAGCACAACATATGTGAACATGTGTAAAGTACAGTGAGTTCACTGCAGTCACTCATCTGGAGAGCAGGGGAAGCCTGGAAGGGGAGGAGAGCACATGCAGAGTTAGCATCCCCCCTATCCCCACTGCAGTAACAGTCCCAGTGACCTCAGCAGAAGCACAATATACCTTTCATGACACTTCTTCTGACTCCCATTCACTGAACTAAAAGTATCTGGACACGTCAGTAAGATGTGTCAAATGGCTAAGGGGGAGAATTGGATTTTGGTTCTTATTCCTCCAAAAACTATCTGTGATACAAATAAAACCATGTAGTTTTCAAAGCCTTGTCTGCAGAATAGTCATCCCCATGCTGCCTGGAAGGTTCTCCTCCATCTTTATCCACACAAGAAGTTAATTGTCAAGAACATCTTTAAAGACAGTCCATAGTGCACTATGGACTAGCCCACAGGCCTGGCACAAAGCTCACTTTTATCATTCTCAACTCTAGTACTTATCCTAGAAATCTTCCAGTGCCAGTGAGCTGCACTGCAATGCTGGGCACAGCTGAAGACACAGATGCTAAATAAATGATAAATGAGCAGAGCTTGACTTCTGACTTGGTACACACCAATTCACGTTGAAGATCCTCCTGGAGGTCTTTGGTGTAAGTCCTAGCCCAGAGCAGGGCCAACGTCACAGCTGCAGCAGGCTGCTCAGGACTGTGCCCAAGCAAGTCTGGGCAGTCCCCACAGATGAAGATTCCCCACAGCTGGGGCTCTCTCACAGGGATGCATCACTAGCAGAGGGAAACCTTTTCTGTGCCCAAATTTTGTTTCCCTTCTTATAACTTGTGCCGTTGCCTTTTGCCCTGTCGTTTTGCCCCTCTGGACTCACTCCAACAGCTCCATATCCCTCTGAGTTCAGGGCCCCAGAGCTGGACACAGGACTCCGAGGAGGCATCTCACAGGCTCTCACCATCTTTGTGGCCTCTGATGGGCTTGCAGAAGTTTTCCCACTACAAGTACTAGAAGCTTCTGCTTCCACGGAGCAGCTGACTCAAGCACTTGGTTTATGAGACTCAGTGCCATCAAATTATCAGCTAGATGTTACTCAGTGACCTTGTGATACTAGATGAAAACCAGTCACAGAGTTCCTCAACAACAAATGATAGCTCACCAGGAGCTTGGATCAATCCTAAGGAGGAGCAGCCCTCAGTGTAAAAGACAAGCCAAAAATTATCCCATGTATCCACAAGGACACACTTACCCACAGAGGCTGTGAGGCTGTGGCAAATGGGTACTAAAGCGAACCTCCCCATTCATGTCTTCAGAAGCAAAGATGTGCTTTGGATCCTTCTTCTTGATTTTTTCATGCCTAGAAAATTAAATCCTTGGTGGATATACTGACAATGTGACCTTTTTAAAGTCTCAATTGAATATGGCAGCAGCAAAAAGTGCCCCTGGCTTCTAGCTTCAGAAAACAAACTCTTCTTTCAGGACAAAGACAACATTTCCAAACAATCCACCCAGAACATCTCCACGTGGAAGAGGGCAGCCCTTGCCATTAACTCTGTCTCGGGAAACATTTCTGCACCTCAGGCAAGGAGGCCTGGACAGCATCAAACAGGTAACTGTTCACTGACCAGAGCAAACCTGCAAACAAAATCAGCCTCCAGAGACCCAAGAGTTGCAAGGGTCACCTGGCAAAACCCTTACCCCAACTTAGTGAAGCAGCTAAGAAGTGTTAGAAACACAGCAAGTGATATACCAGGGAAAGTAGCACCAGCAACTCTGCCTCAGTTTCCCCACCTTAGCTCACTACAGCACTAGTCTGAGCCTTGCCAAGAGCTTGACTGTGCTTGGAGCTCTGTCCCAGTGAGCCCCCACTAGAACTGAAGCTGCAGGGATGTGGCCTGCAGTTCTCTTCCTTCTTTTGAGGCTAGGGAAGAGGTGTTTCTAACATCATTCATTTTCTGCTTCTTACATTAGGAATTCAAGTTTTTGATGTTGGAAAAAATGTAACAAATATTGCACTATTAAAATAATGAAATCCCAAGAATTAGCAGTTAAAAGGGGAACTAATGCATGATACTGGTTAAAATTATGTTTTGACAACACAATTTTTTAAGCTAGCACTTGCATAAAACCTTGAATTTACTTTTTCTCTGGTTATTATTTCAGTGCTAACAGAAAAGTTAGTTTCAGATTTTTCCTGTTGCAGAATCACCCTTTTAAAAGCCAAGCTCACACACTGTATCCCTCCTTCCCATTATGTTTTCCTGACATTGATACACAGACTGGTTTATAATTCTATTTTTGATTCAAAATTCATTTGTGAAGGAAATACGATGACCAGAGGCTAGCACACAATGTAATAAGCACATACCACAAGATCTATAAATAGCCAAACTGTCTTTGACATTACTAAAGCATTGATGGCTTCTGCAAAGCTTAGCAGACCACCAACCTAAGCACCTCACAATGAATTTATCACTCTGGTTCACACTGTCACCTCACCACACACAGGAGCTGTCATTCACTGGCATCATCTCTTGCAGAGTAAGTGTCTTACCAGGTAAATGGCTGTAGATTGTGCAAGAAAGGTCTAAATCCTGCAATACATTCAAACACCATCGTTCCAAAGCTCCAGTAATCAACAGTAACCGAGTAGGACTTCTTTTCAAAGAGTTCTGGAGCCTAAAAAGGATCATGAAAAGACACTTTGAAAGTGGTATATTCCAGGTCATCTATTTTCTTGCATTTCTACAGAGACAAAGCTGTGTCTGGGCATGGCCCCTGGCTCCAGAGTGGCACAAGGACCCTACTGCAACCTTGCTTAGGTTGTCTGGTGGATCCAACCCACGAGGAGATAGGAGGCGTGGGGCTTGTTGGGTCTGGCTGTGGGGAAGCTGGAGATGGGGCAGGCTTAGAGCAGCCCCTAGCTGTGGCACACAAAGGGATGGAGGGGCCAAACTCATCTTGGAAGCAACAGGAGATACAATGAGTGGCAACAGCCACTTATGACCATCCTGTGAGGTTCAGGTTGAACATGAGGAAACGCTTCTTACCATGGAGAGCAAACACCCCTGGGACAGGAAGGCACAGGATCTCAGGTTTTGGAGGTTTTAGGGCTTGGCTGGGCCATAGTGCTGGTTACAGTCTATAGGAGGCTTCAACAGGTTCCTTCTGATACACACTCTGTGATTCTACAGCATCTGGCAGTACCATGTCACTCACAAATATGAAAAACACGTCTTACCAAATATTGCAACGTTCCAACAAATGAAGTGCATAAACTTCCTTGATCCAGATCCTTTGCATACCCCAGGTCTATTATTTTGTGAACAATCTGTAGATAGTTCAAATAGTTCATGAGAAGAGCAAATTCAGAGGTAAAAAAAACCCCAACCTACCAAACAACCCCAAATCTGTGCATTGACATCCATACACACAAGAAGAGGAAAGCCAGAATGGAAATTCTGGAGAAGATCCATGGTGAAACTTCAACGTGTTACCCAATGTTAAGGCTTGTTGTTTCACCACTCATGCTGGCCTTGGCCACCTATCTCAGCATAGACTTGACTTTATTTAAAGCAGCTTACCAGTTACAGCTTGGCCAAACAGAGTATTTAGCTTTTGATCTGGGAACTGAAAGGTATTTGTTTAAAGAGTAACAATAGAGAGAACGATTTTCACTAGGAAATCAATTAGGCTGACTCCCTGAAGTAGCTGGATTTTCCATGCAGCCCTGAAAGCCACAAACACAGGGATACACTATCATCTCATTCATATTCTGTTGTAGGCAGGGTTCTTGAATGAAAGCAAAAGTCACTTGTTTTTAATGACAAGGATTTAAGAATAAGCAAAATTGTTGGCTTCAAGACAACGTAAACTTTTAGTAAACGCACAGTTGAGTTTTCAGCTCAGTTCAATGCCACAAACGACTTGTTCTCTTTTATCTCAGGGAAGACAAAGCTGCTGGCAGCTTCCAGAAATGCCAGTGGGAACACCACTGACAGAGGCCACCTGACTCACCTTCCCACCTTCATCCTGAAGAACAATATTTTCAGGCTTTAAATCTCTGTGTATAATTCTGTTTTCATGCAAATACTGGATACCAGACCCTGAAAGACATGTTGGATTTAGTAAAAAATAAACTCACATTGATTAAAGATACATCTGATCAAAATCGAGTATCCCCAACTTCAGGGTTGACAATAATACATTTTAAAGCACCATTAAGAACTACTGACTTAAAAGATTTGTCATTTTTATACCAGGACTAAACTAAGTCCATTCCTCTGCTCTGCAGAAATGGAGGTTGCTATAGAGTTCAGACCTCACAGTGTAACTACAGGTCACATCAGAGAAGGCACCTGAATTCTTCAACTGCAGTTACAAAATGAACCACAGCAAGCAGACAAGCAAAGCAGGTCTCCAAAATGTGCTGGCAGCCTAAAACAGCTCTGTATGTCCTCTAGCCTAAGAGCTTGGTGAATTAACACAAGATAACACAAAGACCTATTTATACATGGAAGCGCATTATGCAACATGCTGAGGATAGACAAATGAAACAAGAGGAGTTTCTTTTTGACGTAAAAATACTAGAAGTTATACAAGTCTCTGTTTGGAAGCAAACTTCCTTGTTTTACTGGTCAGTATTAGCAACACTGAACTTGGAGGTTCAAGGCTTCTCCTCTGCTGGTAGGGGACTGGTGTGCTCAAAGTAGCACTTCTCTGACCATTTCTGTCACTCCCACTGCTAAAAAAATGAACTTCCATGATGGCTTTAAGGCAATTCATGTGGGGGCTGCTGCCAGGAGGAACTTATGTTCTTAAACTCTCCTTTCCCAGCCACAATTTCCATGCCAGCACAAGCATTTATGGCACCCTGTGATCAACTTGATCTGGAGACTGATCCAGCTAGAAAATGCTAAGAATAAAATACTCAAGTTTTAGCCAGGCTGGTTTCCAGAATTTGCTCCTTGCCTTGGTACAGGAGTGGCAGGGAAGGGAATGGGAGCATGTGCAAAGAGAAGGCAGAGCAGGACTTTGCCTCGTGGCAACAGTCCACACTTGAGCTGCCTGGAGGGCACTGTGGAGCTTCTGACAAAAAAGAAAGAAGAGAAATCCTGCTTGTTGGAAGGGGAAAATTCACTACTGGTCTGCCCAAGGAACAGCACCTGCCACTTGATAAAAGATTATCAAGCATCTCCCATAAGGCACAGCCACAAACCAGCAAAAAAAGTTACTTTCAACATCTGAGGGGCTTTGTTTAATGAATTTTCAATCTTGGAAATGTGAAAGTGGAAAGCAAAGGTTCCATGAAAGGCCCAAGGCCAATATTGTATTTCCTTATCTCCATCATGGGGTATTTTAAGTTTTCCTACGCAAAGGCTACTCCAGCTGCACACCATGTAAAGCTGACTTAAAATTCAGTAAGAGATTATTGTAAGAGAAATAACCAACCAACATGCCCCATGCACAGTCCAAACACCTTCTCCCATGAGGATAAAGCAGAGCATCATGGCCTAAACCTTCAGTGGTTTATTTTAAAAACCAAAACACAAGAAAGAAAGGCATTAGACTACATACCAATGTCACTAAGCAGAGAAAGGATTTGACTTTCCTTAAGTCCACAGCAGTTATCCGGTTTGTTTAGCAACTACAGTAAAGAAAAGTATGTTTAGAGTCACATTGTTAACAGTTAACAGCCAAGAATAGCATTTTCCATCCCCTGCTGACACGACACAGGGAAAAGCACAGCTCAATCCAACTTGAGTTGGATGCAGCAGTCAGCTTTGTGAAATAAAAGCACAGGGGAAGAAAGAAAATAACTCGGACAAAGCTAAATTCAATGCACAGAGATGGGCTTGAAAAGATTTCAGCTGTTAGAATAACACCACAAAAGGCTGAAAGCCATCAGAAAGCAAACAGGTAAGAGATGCAGGCAGGGCAACACAGCTACAGACAACAGGGATGCTGAAGCTCCTGGAATCTGTTCATTTCTCATCAGCTGAAGTTCTGCTTGATGGATTTAGGAACACCCCAAATGGCTGAAGCAGGACTGCTGCTTGGAAGAACAACTCTCTAGTGGGGAAAATAAACTGAGTAACAAAAAGCAATAGGAATGGATATGCACCTAAGCCCTTGGCATTCAAACATGGGTCACTGAGAAAATGCTAAGAAGGGAAACTAACAGGTTAACTCCTCAGTTGAGTGTAGGCCACAGAACAGAAGACAACTGCAGTCATTTACAGCTCCCAGAGAGCCCAGTTGGCCCAAAGCAATTGATGCTTTAATCTGAATAAGCTGGCCATGGTCACTTACAGAGCCTGTGGACTCAGTGGACTGTACCCAAGTGATACCCTGTTATAGAAAAGCCACGAGGTATCAGACCCCACTGCAAGAGGCTGACAAACACTGTGCAGCCACCTCTGTGGTCACCCATTGTCAGTCCCATGCCCATAAAGCTGCCTGTGCCTGGAGGCACAGTACCACCAGGCTTCAAGGTTGCCCATTTAGTTAATTCCAAACTAAAAAGCAACTCATTAGCCTGTGCATCACTGGAGTGTCCACAGCATGGACCAGGACCTAAACTCTCAACCATGCCTCCACTCTAAACTGCTTCATCTCTCTTCTCCCTTGCCCTGAATTTTTCTCCTCTAGTGAAAGGTATGGTAGAAGCACCATAGGAACCCCATCCTAATCCCTGTCTTCATGACCTTCATGACCAGTAAGTAGCTTCAGCAATTTCCCATGTACACCCCAAGTCAATCAACATGTGATTTGATTTTTACTATCCTAAAGGCTTTTACAGACGACTGAAGTACACTTCTGCACTGCAGACACCCCTCCCTTGATACAATCCTCATGTTTTTGCCTGCCTCTCACACTGCAGGCACAACCAATACTCAAACCTCTACGGGAGAGAAGCCAAACTTCAACATCTCACTCTTTAAGTTCTGTGTAGATGTGCTGAACAAGAAAGGAGAGGGGCAAAGTCAGAAATCAAGCTTGGAGCTCACAGCACTAGCCTGAAAGAGCACAAGCATAAACATGTGCATGGCCCATAGACAACAGCAGATGCTTTTCCAGGCCTTGTGTAAGACTGTAGATGTGCAATGAGAAATTAATAGCCGCACAAAACACAAATGATGCCAAGCAAGTGTAAGAAATTTAAAGAACGGGATCAGAAATAAAAAGAACATGTTGGTTAGTTTGGTTTCTTTTTTTCCTCTAAATAAGGGATGCAGTTGTTGCATTCAACATCTGCTCAGTTTCCTCCAGTGCTATTTAACACCAGTAACAGAAAAAACAGAAAAATGAGCTTCCTGATCATTTGCATGAGGATTTCTGAGCAATCCTCAATCAACAGGGATTTGCTTCTTCACTCCTATACAAATAGCTGCTCCCTGAATCCAGCTGCAATGGAAAATGAGCATGAACTCTATTGGGCAATGCAGCCACTGCTTGGGGATCCACCAAAAGGTCCCTTTACTCTTCCATGTTGCTGTTCTGCAGAAGGGCAATTCCCACTCAGAAGGAATGTCTCTGAAGCCCTGGAGGCCCCAATCCAGTACTAAAAGGATCCTTCCCTGTGCTGAGAGCAACATAATACTGCAGACACATCAATCAAAACCAGAATCAGACTCTAAAACAGAGACACAGTGCGGTAAAGCCAAACACACTGGGTGCAAGTTTCCAGGCTACAGGAATTTGTATTAATGCTAAAGCAGTTCCATGAAAGGACACGGTGCTTCAGGATAAAAGCATCTGCCTTTGGGTTGCTCTGTATCCTCTGGTTTCAAAACCACTTCACATTTACTTCCCCACACCTGTACGTAAAAAGAAAAGCCCCACAGAACAGATGGTTTCACAGACAACCCCAATTACAGGAAGAGCATTAATTTCACTACATATTGCAAAGCAAAGCAGACATTACCTTACGGAGGTCACCCCCTGAACAATATTCCATTGCCAGGAGAGGAACATCATTAACCAGAAAGTTCATCTCCTCAGGAACTTCACAGGCTCTTACTACATTGGGATGGCTCAACCTAAGCACATGGAAAGCTGGATGAAAACTCTGACTCCTCTTTTGGAAGAATGAGACAACAGATTGTCAAGCAACTGTGGTTTACATTTCAGGCAGAATTTCTGCTCCCCAAATGTATCCCTATTAAGAAGCACACTCTTCAATTGGTACCTACCAGTATCCAAATGCATCAAATTCCCACCCTGGGAATACACAAACCAGTGATGAAAAGAAATGTTGTCTCAGTGTCAAGGTACAGGACTTTGGAGCTCAAGTTCTGGATTCCTGCACATTCCTGGCAGTGTTGTTGCATATGTGTCTATGTTTCTGCTTGTGGGGACAACTTCCTCCTGGTCCAAGGGTTTCATATAAATCCATTAACACTTGTGTAACTGTACTAGAGAGGTAGAACCATGCAGGTAAAACCCACATACATGAGAAAGGATTCATTCCTGTAACTTAATTCAAACAGCTGCTTCCTTACTGTTTCTACTATGTGTTACTCTTGGGAATAAAAGACACATCCAGAAGTAAGAGAAGACAAATTACTTCTATGTCCACCTTCCAAAGCCTGAGCCTCAGGAAGCAACCACAGGAGCAGCTGTAACTGTGTGGTCAGTGCTTGTATTCAGAAAACAACTATCATAGAAATGCTAACAAGAACACTAATCACCAAGACCTGACTTATCAACTCAGGTTCTCTGCACGTGGTTTCTGCCAATGTTGGGGCATAGCAATGCATCAGAGCAAGAGCTCAGTAAAGCTCTACACAGCAGGGACACTACAGGCCTTGGTGAGAACAACTCAGAACAAAACGGACCAGCATCCCTGCTACCAACACTAAAAGCATTTCACACTCGAGGATCAAAAGGGGAGAGGGATTCTCAGAATGAAGGCACAACTGTATAAGACCCCGATGACCAGAGGAACCACACGCATCTCTGAGGACACATCTGGCCAGCTGTGGCTCACAGGTTTTCAGAGGGACATGCCAAAGAGGGGGATGATGGGCAGCACAAAGGACATGGTTTCTCATCAGAAAGCATTAGGATACATCATTCTGTACATGCAGAGGTGTCACAGAAAAAGGGCAGTTTCTAGATCCCTGGCTGCTAGATCAAAACCACATACACTGCCCAGTGTGGGAACATATGGGTGTTCTCATGTCACCACATTAACTCAATGACATCACATGGTGTGGCTCTGGAGGAATTTATGATGGACAGACAGCCCAGGCAGCACAAAAGTGCACGAAGTTTGAATGGTGCTAGATCCCAAGGCATGGGCCAGTGCACCAGGGCAGAAGTGCTTTGGACACAGAATAAATCACAGCCTGATTTGGGCTGGAAGGGATCTTAAAGCTCATCC